TGCACTCAACATGTTCAGTATGCACTCAACATGTTCAGTATGCACTCAACATGTTCAGTATGCACTCAACATGTTCAGTATGCACTCAACATGTTCAGTATGCACTCAACATGTTCAGTATGCACTCAACATGTTCAGTATGCACTCAACATGTTCAGTATGCGCTCAACATGTTCAGTATGCACTCAACATGTTCAGTATGCGCTCAACATGTTCAGTATGCACTCAACATGTTCAGTATGCACTCAACATGTTCAGTATGCACTCAACATGTTCAGTATGCACTCAACATGTTCAGTATGCAGTCAACATGTTCAGTATGCACTCAACATGTTCAGTATGCACTCAACATGTTCAGTATGCACTCAACATGTTCAGTATGCACTCAACATGTTCAGTATGCACTCAACATGTTCAGTATGCACTCAACATGTTCAGTATGCACTCAACATGTTCAGTATGCAGTCAACATGTTCAGTATGCACTCAACATGTTCAGTATGCACTCAACATGTTCAGTATGCACTCAACATGTTCAGTATGCACTCAACATGTTCAGTATGCACTCAACATGTTCAGTATGCACTCAACATGTTTAGTATGCACTCAACATGTTCAGTATGCGCTCAACATGTTCAGTATGCACTCAACATGTTCAGTATGCACTCAACATGTTCAGTATGCACTCAACATGTTCAGTATGCACTCAACATGTTCAGTATGCACTCAACATGTTCAGTATGCACTCAACATGTTCAGTATGCACTCAACATGTTCAGTATGCACTCAACATGTTCAGTATGCACTCAACATGTTCAGTATGCACTCAACATGTTCAGTATGCACTCAACATGTTCAGTATGCACTCAACATGTTCAGTATGCACTCAACATGTTCAGTATGCAGTCAACATGTTCAGTATGCGCTCAACATGTTCAGTATGCACTCAACATGTTCAGTATGCACTCAACATGTTCAGTATGCACTCAACATGTTCAGTATGCACTCAACATGTTCAGTATGCACTCAACATGTTCAGTATGCACTCAACATGTTCAGTATGCACTCAACATGTTCAGTATGCAGTCAACATGTTCAGTATGCACTCAACATGTTCAGTATGCACTCAACATGTTCAGTATGCACTCAACATGTTCAGTATGCAGTCAACATGTTCAGTATGCAGTCAACATGTTCAGTATGCACTCAACATGTTCAGTATGCACTCAACATGTTCAGTATGCACTCAACATGTTCAGTATGCAGTCAACATGTTCAGTATGCACTCAACATGTTCAGTATGCACTCAACATGTTCAGTATGCACTCAACATGTTCAGTATGCACTCAACATGTTCAGTATGCACTCAACATGTTCAGTATGCACTCAACATGTTCAGTATGCACTCAACATGTTCAGTATGCACTCAACATGTTCAGTATGCACTCAACATGTTCAGTATGCACTCAACATGTTCAGTATGCACTCAACATGTTCAGTATGCACTCAACATGTTCAGTATGCACTCAACATGTTCAGTATGCACTCAACATGTTCAGTATGCACTCAACATGTTTAGTATGCACTCAACATGTTCAGTATGCACTCAACATGTTTAGTATGCACTCAACATGTTCAGTATGCACTCAACATGTTCAGTATGCACTCAACATGTTCAGTATGCACTCAACATGTTCAGTATGCACTCAACATGTTCAGTATGCACTCAACATGTTCAGTATGCACTCAACATGTTCAGTATGCACTCAACATGTTCAGTATGCACTCAACATGTTCAGTATGCACTCAACATGTTCAGTATGCACTCAACATGTTCAGTATGCACTCAACATGTTCAGTATGCACTCAACATGTTCAGTATGCACTCAACATGTTCAGTATGCACTCAACATGTTCAGTATGCACTCAACATGTTCAGTATGCACTCAACATGTTCAGTATGCACTCAACATGTTCAGTATGCACTCAACATGTTCAGTATGCACTCAACATGTTCAGTATGCACTCAACATGTTCAGTATGCACTCAACATGTTCAGTATGCACTCAACATGTTCATTATGCACTCAACATGTTCAGTATGCACTCAACATGTTCAGTATGCACTCAACATGTTCAGTATGCACTCAACATGTTCAGTATGCACTCAACATGTTCAGTATGCACTCAACATGTTCAGTATGCACTCAACATGTTCAGTATGCACTCAACATGTTCAGTATGCACTCAACATGTTCAGTATGCACTCAACATGTTCAGTATGCACTCAACATGTTCAGTATGCACTCAACATGTTCAGTATGCGCTCAACATGTTCAGTATGCACTCAACATGTTCAGTATGCACTCAACATGTTCAGTATGCACTCAACATGTTCAGTATGCACTCAACATGTTCAGTATGCACTCAACATGTTCAGTATGCACTCAACATGTTCAGTATGCACTCAACATGTTCAGTATGCACTCAACATGTTCAGTATGCACTCAACATGTTCAGTATGCACTCAACATGTTCAGTATGCACTCAACATGTTCAGTATGCACTCAACATGTTCAGTATGCACTCAACATGTTCAGTATGCACTCAACATGTTCAGTATGCAGCTCAACATGTTCAGTATGCACTCAACATGTTCAGTATGCACTCAACATGTTCAGTATGCACTCAACATGTTCAGTATGCACTCAACATGTTCAGTATGCACTCAACATGTTCAGTATGCACTCAACATGTTCAGTATGCACTCAACATGTTCAGTATGCACTCAACATGTTCAGTATGCACTCAACATGTTCAGTATGCACTCAACATGTTCAGTATGCACTCAACATGTTCAGTATGCACTCAACATGTTCAGTATGCACTCAACATGTTCAGTATGCACTCAACATGTTCAGTATGCACTCAACATGTTCAGTATGCACTCAACATGTTCAGTATGCACTCAACATGTTCAGTATGCACTCAACATGTTCAGTATGCACTCAACATGTTCAGTATGCACTCAACATGTTCAGTATGCACTCAACATGTTCAGTATGCACTCAACATGTTCAGTATGCACTCAACATGTTCAGTATGCACTCAACATGTTCAGTATGCACTCAACATGTTCAGTATGCACTCAACATGTTCAGTATGCACTCAACATGTTCAGTATGCACTCAACATGTTCAGTATGCACTCAACATGTTCAGTATGCACTCAACATGTTCAGTATGCACTCAACATGTTCAGTATGCACTCAACATGTTCAGTATGCACTCAACATGTTCAGTATGCACTCAACATGTTCAGTATGCACTCAACATGTTCAGTATGCACTCAACATGTTCAGTATGCACTCAACATGTTCAGTATGCACTCAACATGTTCAGTATGCACTCAACATGTTCAGTATGCACTCAACATGTTCAGTATGCACTCAACATGTTCAGTATGCACTCAACATGTTCAGTATGCACTCAACATGTTCAGTATGCACTCAACATGTTCAGTATGCACTCAACATGTTCAGTATGCACTCAACATGTTCAGTATGCACTCAACATGTTCAGTATGCACTCAACATGTTCAGTATGCACTCAACATGTTCAGTATGCACTCAACATGTTCAGTATGCACTCAACATGTTCAGTATGCACTCAACATGTTCAGTATGCACTCAACATGTTCAGTATGCACTCAACATGTTCAGTATGCACTCAACATGTTCAGTATGCACTCAACATGTTCAGTATGCACTCAACATGTTCAGTATGCACTCAACATGTTCAGTATGCACTCAACATGTTCAGTATGCACTCAACATGTTCAGTATGCACTCAACATGTTCAGTATGCACTCAACATGTTCAGTATGCACTCAACATGTTCAGTATGCACTCAACATGTTCAGTATGCACTCAACATGTTCAGTATGCACTCAACATGTTCAGTATGCACTCAACATGTTCAGTATGCACTCAACATGTTCAGTATGCACTCAACATGTTCAGTATGCACTCAACATGTTCAGTATGCACTCAACATGTTCAGTATGCACTCAACATGTTCAGTATGCACTCAACATGTTCAGTATGCACTCAACATGTTCAGTATGCACTCAACATGTTCAGTATGCACTCAACATGTTCAGTATGCACTCAACATGTTCAGTATGCACTCAACATGTTCAGTATGCACTCAACATGTTCAGTATGCACTCAACATGTTCAGTATGCACTCAACATGTTCAGTATGCACTCAACATGTTCAGTATGCACTCAACATGTTCAGTATGCACTCAACATGTTCAGTATGCACTCAACATGTTCAGTATGCACTCAACATGTTCAGTATGCACTCAACATGTTCAGTATGCACTCAACATGTTCAGTATGCACTCAACATGTTCAGTATGCACTCAACATGTTCAGTATGCACTCAACATGTTCAGTATGCACTCAACATGTTCAGTATGCACTCAACATGTTCAGTATGCACTCAACATGTTCAGTATGCACTCAACATGTTCAGTATGCACTCAACATGTTCAGTATGCACTCAACATGTTCAGTATGCACTCAACATGTTCAGTATGCGCTCAACATGTTCAGTATGCACTCAACCTGTTCAGTATGCGCTCAACATGTTCAGTATGCACTCAACCTGTTCAGTATGCACTCAACATGTTCAGTATGCACTCAACATGTTCAGTATGCACTCAACATGTTCAGTATGCACTCAACATGTTCAGTATGCACTCAACATGTTCAGTATGCACTCAACATGTTCAGTATGCACTCAACATGTTCAGTATGCACTCAACATGTTCAGTATGCACTCAACATGTTCAGTATGCACTCAACATGTTCAGTATGCGCTCAACATGTTCAGTATGCACTCAACCTGTTCAGTATGCGCTCAACATGTTCAGTATGCACTCAACATGTTCAGTATGCACTCAACATGTTCAGTATGCACTCAACATGTTCAGTATGCACTCAACATGTTCAGTATGCACTCAACATGTTCAGTATGCACTCAACATGCTCTCAAACGCAAGCCATCACCACTACCTCTCACGATTCCACCACCATCTCCTTCCTCCCTATTCCTCCTCACCCGTCCGCTTTTTCCTCCCTTTCCTTCCCCCATCCCTCCAATCCCCTCACCGGTCGTCACACCCCCCAGGCGAAAACGCCGTCGCCTCCAGCGTGCTGCTGATCGCGGGCATCGCAGTCCGCTGCACGGACCAGCGCATGGTTCTCCTCCCCTCCATCAGTGTTCACACTTCTCAATGCTCCCCCCTCCCCTTCCCCCCCACCCGTCACTCCCTTCAGGCGAAGCAAGCCGTGGCCTCCAGCGACGCCACTGCCATCCGCGACCCGGCCCTCCCCGACGCGCCCGACGCGGCCCTACTGCTGATCGCGGACATCGCAGTGCGGTGCACGGACCAGCGCACGGCGCTGCGCCCCTCCATGAGCGAGGTGGTGAACGCGCTGCAGGCGGTGCGGCGGCAGCACCTGGGGGGCGACGAGGAGGAGCAGAAGAAGGCGGACTCAGCGGTGCTGGTGGACGCGGAGATAGAGGCGATGCGCGTGGAGCTGAGGGGGCGCGAGGACACACTGGACGAGGAGCTCAGTGCCGTCATGCGCTCCATGGCCACGCCCCGCGGGGCCGCTGCCGCTGCTGCTGCTGCCACCCATGGGTTCCCGCCCGTGTCTGGTTCGGGCGGTGGGTCTGGTGCTGCTGGGAGTGCTGACTCTGAAGCAGCAGACACGCGGGTGACCATTCACGACCCCCACCCGTTCCCCACGGCCTCTGAAGCGGCTGCTACCGCTGCTGCCACTGCTGCTGCTGCAGCTGCCGCGGGCGCCAAGGCAAGCGAGCAAGAGGAAATCCAAGAGGTGTCGCTGCAGTTCTACCTTGACAAGCCCGCACCCGCCTCACACACCCCACCGCCCGCCCCACCACCCGCAGAACAGCCTGCACCGTTCCAGTTCTCTCCTGCACCAGACCCTTCCTTGCCCCCGCCTGGAAGTAGCGGCTATGGTAGGGCGCCGGGTGGTGGTGGTGAAGCAGGGAGAGGCCAGGACAATGTGTTGTCTGTGGACGACTCACAGCAGGGCGGGGCTTGGGAGGAGCACCCCCCGCATGGGGATGTGCATGTGCATGTGGGAGGGCAGCAAGCTGCTTCACCTCCCCCACCGCTCTTCAGGCAGCATGAACTCGAACCTGCGCCCGGACTTGAACCTGCGCCCGGACTTGAACCTGCGCCCGGACTTGAACCTGCGCCCCACGATGAATCCGAGCCTGAGCTCGAGCGTGAACCTGAGGGTGGCACTGGATTCGTGCACACGGCTGGACGTGGTCCTGGGCATGGTGCTGGGCCTGTGCATGGGGATGGGGAGGCGCCCATTGCACTTCACGCACAGGGGGCTTTCATGGGAGAGCTGCAATACGCCGCTCCTGCCTCTGCTGCTTCTGCCCCTGCTGCTGCTACCTCTACTGCATCTGCCTTGTCTGCTGGTGCTGCTGGCATGGCTGGGGCAGAGGATTCCGATGCTGAATCTTTCTCGTTCGGGAACCTTGCTCCCCAAACTTCTTCTGCTGCCCTCACCCCTCCACCTGTCCTCACCCCTCCACCTGTCCTCACCCCTCCACCTGTCCTCACCCCTCCACCTGTCCTCACCCCTCCACCTGTCCTCACCCCTCCACCTGTCCTCACCCCTCCACCTGTCCTCACCCCTCCACCTGTCCTCACCCCTCCTCCTGCCCTCACCCCTCCTCCTGCCCTCACCCCTCCTCCTGCCCTCACCCCTCCTCCTGCCCTCACCCCTCCTCCCACCCTCACCCCTCCTCCTGCCCTCACCCCTCCTCCTGGCCCCGCCCCTCCTCCTGCCCTCACCCCTCCTCCCACCCTCAACCCTCCTCCTGCCCTCAACCCTCCTCCTGCCCTCAACCCTCCTCCTGCCCTCACCCCTCCTCCCGCCCTCACCCCTCCACCTGGCCTCCGCCCACCACCAGGCAGGACCACAACCCCAGCAGCGCCTGTCCCACAGCCCGCACCTGCGTTGTCATCACAGCTATCACTGGGCGTCACAGCTCTGATGTCTGAGGACTCCACCCAAGATGATGACCCACTGGCAGAAACACCAAGCTCCGACGCGCCCGACCCCGACTCATCCCACACGTCAGACCCCGCTGGAGCATCAGGGGGTTCTTCTATCAGCCAGCAAGATTCAAGTGGTCCGGGGGATTCTTCTGGCTCTGCTCGCAAGAGTTCACGCAAGGGTGGCCGGAAGGGTCGTAGAGGGAGGTGAAGTTGAGTGACAGGCTGATCAAATTGTTCATGTGGTGTATCTGTGGGCTCTTGTACTCGTAGTAGATGGTGGGTTGGTATGTGTATGTGGGTTCTTTTTCTTTTCTTTCCATTGTGTTGTATCTGGTTAGCAATAAAGCTTATATATCTGTTTATGACTGACATTAAATGTGTAAGCTGGTCACGATGAATTTTTCTTCTATAATTTTTAAACCGGATTTAATCTGGTTTAGAGCGGTATCATAGGGATGTGGAAGATTGTTCCCAGTGATTGAATTTTGTTCGGCAGCTCCGAATGTCTTTATCCCCCATCCAAAGCTTGAGGAAGTTGTATGTGTGTGAGGTGGTGTTCTGCTGCTTCTTGGAACATCATCATTAAAACAATTTCTGCAAGACAAAACCATATCCCTACTCAATGCAACTCTACACAACCCCTATCACAAGAACCGAAGCACACACTGAGCTCAAACAAGTGTGCCACAGCAGTGTTCTATGACCGGCACTATACTACAGTATTACAGGCAGACAAGCATGCTACAATCCACTATTCAGCATACATTCTGGAGGTACCACTGCTAGAGAACCCCCACTGTTCAACCCTTTCCATCATACACTAGCACTAGTATATATTCCATGGGAGCAAGCACCCTCTCATCTCATCCACACCCCGCTTGCTCCACCCTCTCCTGCGTCTCCCTGCCCGGCGCCCTCATCTTCCTCCTGCTCTCTTGACTTCTGGGTCGACTAGTACGTAAGTGAAGGCACCCTCACCTGCCTGCACCGGCCCTGCACCCTCATAGTGCTCCTCTGCTGTGCTGTGCTGCGGCGAGGGCTGGTCTAGCGGAAGGAGTCGGGCAGCTTGGGCTTGTTGCGCATGATGGCGTCTATCCGCTCCATGACTGCGGGGGTCAGCTTCGGCATCACCTCCAGTGCCTTCATGTTCTCCTCTATCTGCCATGCACGCATGCATGCGTACATGCACATGCACAGTAACACACACAATGTTGAACCTGCATTCCCTGCACTCCCTCTCTCTGGATTTTGACCCTGCACCGGACCACAGACCCCTCTCCCCACTCCCACAACACCCCCCTCCCCTCGCCCCACTCTCTCCTCCCCCCACTCTCTCCTCCCCCCACACTCACCACGCACCTGGCTTTCCATGGTGCTTTCCACACACCTGTCTCCACACCCCCCACCCAACGCTCCCCACTCCTCCTCACCCTCCTCCCTCCATGCCCCCATCACCCCACTACCCACCACACACCTGGCTCTCGTTGGTGCTGCCGGTGATGACCGCTCCCTACTGCCCCCACTCCCCACACGTCCCGATCCCCAGTCCCCCCCTCTCCCACCACCTCCCCCACCATTCCCCACCCCGTCCCCCCCCGCGCACCTGGGACTCCTTGGTGGAGCCGGTGATGACGGAGGAGACGTGGGGGTTCTTGGCGCACCACGCGAGGCTGAGCTGCGCCACCGTGCACTGCAGCTCGCCCGCCACCGCCTGCAGCGCGCCCACCTTGTCCAACACCTCCTCCACCAGCTTGCGCGTCGCCAGGTGCTGGGGGGGGGGGAGGGAAGTGGAGACGGGAAAGCAGGGTGGAAAGCGGGGATGGGTGGCGGACAGGGAACAGGGGGCGACGGCGGCAGGAAAAGGGGAGGGAGTGGGAAGAGAGAATGACAAGGGAATGGTGATCAACGGAGGGGGGATGCGGGGGAGGGAAGCAGGAGGGAAAGAGGGAGGTGAAGCTGGGGGCAGGAGGTGGAGCAGGCAGCAAGGGGCAGCAGTGGTGGTGACATACTGTGAGTGGGCGTGAGAGGGCGTGAGAGGGAGTGAGGGCGTGAGAGGGAGTGAGAGGGAGTGAGGGCGTGAGAAGGCGTGAGAGGGAGTGAGGGCGTGAGAAGGCGTGAGAGGGAGTGAGAGGCCTCACCTTGTAGTTGGCGAGGGCGAAGCGCGAGTCGGGGGGGATGTGGCCGCGCGCGTACTTCCCTGTGAGCACTCCCGACGCCAGCGGCGACCACGTGGTGAGCCCCAGCCCGTACGGCTCGTACAGCGGCAAGAACTCCTTCTCCACCTGGTGCCCCGGGGGGAAAGGGGAGGGCGGGAAAGGGCAAGGGGGGAATGGGCAACAAGGGAAACGGGTGGGAGGGGGCGAGGGTGGGGAAGGAGGGGATGGAGACGGAAGAGGGTGGGTGGGGGAGGGTGGGGAGGGATGGAGGGGAAAGAATGTGACATAAAGAAAGAGTGGAGGGGTGTGAGCGAGGGAGTATATGTGGGAGGGGGGCTGGGTTGGGGGGGCGGCGTGTGTGTGGCGACCAGTGTGTCTGAAGGTAAGTGCTTCTGTGAACGTGCAGACTGAGTGAGAGGAAGTACAAGGGAGAAGCGAGGGAGAGAAAGAGTGCGAGAAAGAGGGGCAGAGGGGGGATGGAGGAGGGGAGAGAGGAAGTGGAAGCAGGGGGAAGCGAGGGAGGAAAGGATATAAGCAGGGGTAGCAGGAAGAGCATGCGGTTAACGGGTACCAACAACTCTGTCCACTCTAGCGATGAATGACAACAGCTACCCACACACCACGCTCAACACACATTCATCCACTCCACTTCCTTCCCCACCCCCCCAGTCCCCGACCCCTCTCGCATGCCTCCTTGCTCCCAGCCTCATCACGCAGATTCCACCATATCTTGAAGAACCTTCCTCCTCTCGCCGCCCACCTTCTCCCCTCTCGCCGCCCACCCCCCCCCTCTCACCGCACACCTGGCCCGTGTGGCGGCGCACCTTCTCCCGCGCGATGAGGTTGTACTCGGGCTGCTCCATGGCGGGCCCGATGAGGTTCAGCCGCCGCGCCACCTCACACGCCTCCGTGATCTGCGCCGCACTCCACTCACTCGTGCCCCAGTAGAACGCCCACCCCTGCCCAGTGTTGTTTGTGAGCGTGGGCGCGGGGAGACGCGGGGGTGGGGACGGGGGCAGGGGCGTGGAGGAAGGTAGGAGGCGAAGAAGATTGGCGTATGAAGGGGAGGAAGGCATGCCTCGAATGCTTCTCCAAGGGCGCAGATTAGACCTGCGCCGCACTCCACTCACTCCTGCCCCAGTGGATCGCCCACCCCTGTCCAGTGTTGTTTGTGAGCGTAGGGGCAGGAGGGACAGAACAGGAAAAAAGGCAGGGGTAGGGGGAGGGGCGGGGGGGTTTAGGGGAGAGGATTGGCGTATGGAGGGGAAGAGGGCATGCTTGATTGGCCCCCCTTATCGATGGGGCGCACAGTCTTCCCTCTTTAACACTTCTCCCCTCCCCCCTAACACCCTCCTCCTCTCCTCTCCTCTCCTCTCCTCCCCCCCCCTCCCCCCCCCCCCCCCGCACCTTATCAATGACGTGGTTCATGGCGCGCACGGTCTCTTCGATGGGAGTGGAGGCGTCGGGGCGGTGGCAGTAGAGCAGGTCCACGTACTCCATGCCCAGCCGCCGCAGCGACGCGCGCACGCCCTCCACTATGTGCTTCCGCGACAGCCCCTTCTCGTTCACGCCCTGCGACCGGGTGACGGGAGGAATTCGGGACGGGGGGAACGAGGGAAGAAACGGAGGATGCGGGCGGGGGACCGGGGTGGAGCGGCAAGGGGGCGGGGGGCAGAAAGGGGGGGTGCAGGGGGGGGGAAAGGCGGAGGTTCTCTGATTGGAATTGCAACGACTCCCCTTAACAATGCGCTTCTCGTTGCGCGACAGGGGGGAAGAAGAGAGAGAGACTGGGAGTAGGGAAGGGGAAGGGCGGGAGAGGGAATTTCGTGCCTGGCGGCCTGGAAGCCTGTTATAACTCCCTCACCACCTGGCCGCCCCATAAAATCGTGAAGGAGGCGACGACGTCAGAGCGTCGCCAGCCCAGCTCAACAACCCCGACCCCAAAACCCGCACCAGCCCCCCGCCGCACTTTGTCTCCCCACACCAAATGCCACCGCTCCAAACCCACCTGGCCGCCCCAGAAGATCTTGGTGGAGACGACGATCTCGGAGCGGCGCCAGCCGAGCTCGCGCACGGCCTGGCCGAAGATCTCCTCGGCCTTGCCGTTGGCATACACCTCCGCGTTGTCAAAGAAGTTCACGCCCGCCTCGTAGCACCGCCGCAGCAGCCGCTTCGCTAGCTCCACGTCCACCTGCGCGCGCACCGCGGGGGGGGAGGGGGGAGTCGGGGATAGGGGTGGGGCGGGGAGGAGAGGGGCGGGGCGGGGTGGGCAGGGGTGGGCAGGGGTGGGCAAGGGGGGGGGGGGAGAGAGAAGGGGGGGTGGGGGGGGGGGGGGGGGAGGGGGGGGGGAGAAGGGGGGGTGGGGGGGGGGGGGAGGGGAAGAAGAAGGGGGGGGGGGGGGGGGTGTGGGGAGGGTCGTGGAGGGCACGGTCGAGGTTTGGGGTGTGGGGGGTTTGGGGGGGAGAGATCCGAGAGGTGCGTGGGGAGAGAGTTTGGATAGAGTTAGGGAATTTGAGGGGAAGGCGGAAGAGGGACGAGAACGGGGAGAGGAAGAACGAGGCGGCGTGGGGATGCGGGTGGGATGCGTCACCCATCCGGGGTTGTGCGGGGGTAACGATGCGCTCGCGAGCGGGTAGGCATGGCTGCGGAGCGGCACCGCGTCGCGCATTGACGGATGACCGGAAAACGAGGTGATGTAGCAGATCGGTGACGGGAGGCGGCGACAACGGCTATGCGAATCGAGGATCACACAGATCTAAGGATGAGGGCGTCGAATCGAGCGCGGAACCAGGAGGGTGGACATTGGTGCGACCAGGGAGAGAGGGCAGCAGCGCGAAGGAGCAGCACAAAGCGGAGGTCGTTGTCATTCCTCGCCGCTATGGCGCCGGTGCTGACGGCGGACCGCAACTCTCGGAGTGCGCCGCGCGTTGATTTGATCGGCGAGCGCGTTTGCGGGAGAGAAAGGGAACGGATTGGCACCTGGTTGCCGAACGTGACCCACGACCCGAAGCTGAACACCGACACCTTGAGCCCCGTGCGACCCAGATTGCGA